TAGCAATGTGTGATACTATTAATGTTTCATATATTTGTTGGAAATCTAGTATACTGTACAAATTGCAAAGATAGTAGGATTCAAATAGCTGTCGATGGTTTTCACTCGCTACCTTTGAATTTTAATTTTGAATTAATTGATTTTTGGCTATGTCGGAGAAACATCGTTTTCATTGTGAGCGATAAGTTTACACGTCCTATAAAATTATTTTTGTTTGAGGCCCGGAAGGTCTCAAAAAGAATAGAAAAAAAGTTCGTCTAAACGGTGATCATTACATTGGAAGATACGTGTTCTTTTGGTGCTTACCACGGGGGCACATTATACTTTACTGGAGTCGTGAAAAGGTCGTTTCATTTGGAAGCAATTTCTTGATGCTCTATTCTTCTTGGGCTAGGAGCTAATTTTCTCGTCTACATTTTGTGATGATCATGAATGCTAATGAAAGATGTCACTTCGCTGTAGCAAATGTCACAAATTGTGTCATATCAATGCGAATGTTTAAAGATTGCAAAAACACAAATTGTTCCAGAGGATCTTTCTTCGCCTTACCAGACTACGATATTTAGGAGAAAATATATTTTGCTTCTAACAAGAGCATTTAGGTTTCCTTGGGTGAACGAGCAATACCTCAATAAAATTAAAAAATGTGTAATTTCTTACTTAGCTGTTCGGAAAGTAGCTGAGCAAAATTTGAATAATCCAAAAATTTACTGATAGAGGGTGAATTAAAATAGCAACCGCCATCTATCTTGCGATCATTTAAAGTTAAACTGTCAGTCAAATCAGTTTCTGTCAAACTGATTAGAATCAGTCAGCAGGATTTCACTGCCGTTTTTTAGCAACCGACCTCCTTGAAAAAAAGGAAGGACTAAGCAATTCTCACGATCTCTTATTAAAAGACTCATTGCGAGTTTTGTGCAATAATATTGGCAATATAGAAAAAACTAATATCTACCTTTGTTTGAATTCAAACGTTCAAGCCTCACCTGCTCAGCAATTTGAGGGAGGCAATTTGAAGGTGACACTGTGACCGAGTGGTTAGAACGCTGCACTTGCAATAAGGAGGTTCCGAGTTTAAGTCTTGCCCTTACCTCTTCCTTGTTTCCAACATCCCTGCGTTTAAATATTGGGCCATGTTTGTAAAATAGACAACTGGTTCGCTTTCCATCATTTTGGGTTCTTATCTTTGTTTTCTTCCATTTGAATTATTTGTTTCATTATCCCTGACAAGCCCCTATGGAGAGAAGATAATTATGTATTTAGATTTCGTTCACTATCAAAAGAAAAACTTTCGTCCAGCTTATTTAATCTTTATTGTAGTCAAAGACATTTGAGCTCAATTTTAGGGTTTGCCTGCAGGTGTTTAATAAAACGGTGTAAATTTAAACTTGGATTTTGGTCATGAAAGTTCCTCTGCAAGCAATGCTATAATCAGGCTTTGTACAAGGTTAGTTACTTGATATCAACAATTTTGTTAGTTTAAATACCTTCACCATTCATACTTCGTGAAAAATTCTGCGCCTTGTGTGTGAACCATGTTGTTTAAAATTGACTGTTGATCGAACAGCGGAAGTTCAGTAGATGAAAACAAATAACAAGGCACAGTTAAAAAATAAAATAAAAATAAAAATGTTTAAGATAGCTAGAGATCCCTTTGATATCTCTAGATGGAACAGAAATTTCTATTTGAGAATTAACCACGAGGTCAAAAAAGGCTTCCGTTTTAAAGAATTTTTACGTCAGGTTTTCTGGTTCTTTACCTTTTACGAATTTGCTGAGTATAACAGAAACCTGTTTATATTAAACGAACTATTGGCAAAACATCTTTACACACAATAACTATGTATTTTTCCACCATAGTACTGACTTTTATTTATTAGTGGGTTTAAACTTAAGGATAACGGAATAAATTGATCGCATTTTGAGCATCTTTACCCCCCAAAATACTTGTTTGCTGGCAGCAGGATTCCATGTTGGTTTACCTTCTGCCAGGAAATCGCGATTTTTTTAATAGATTTTTTGATAGAAATACATTTATAAATTCTCATTTAGACATATCTTTTTAAGGACAGTTCTTTCCATGCAAAGATATCAAATTTCTTACCGCAATTCCAATCTCCATAATACGTGAAACTCTCTAATGTGGACACCTGGATATGTCTCTGTAGTGTCCATAAAGAGACAGCTTTACTCCACTGAACTTGTGTGTCTCATTTATTTTCTTTTTCACGGATAAATTATTAAGGTGAGTCCTGACCCATAGAACATTCTTAAAACAAACAAACGGAAGTTGAAGAAAGCGGCTGATGGAGACCCCCTTAAAATATTTCAGTTCCGAATCCTCTTATTTTGCAATTTAACTGCAAGGTCACAAAAAGTTTCGTGTTTGTGTGGTTTCTATGCTAGAGGTTCGTGCTTTTACTCTAGAAATTTGCTAAGCGTTTCGAACCTGCCGAAAATGTAAAGTAAAGGACTTAATATTTACCGAACCGGTAAGAAATATTCTCGAAGAAACTACAAGTTTTCACGACAGCCGTTTTGGTTGACGAATATTTATAAATAAGCTTCAATCAACAGAAAAAGGGATTGGCTATTGAGAATTAGCCGGGGTATTGAAACCAATCATGATTCCTGTCTGAAAGAGAAAAGTATCATGGCCGAGCTTGTAAAAAAATATGTCCGCATAGGATGACAACATTTTGCTTTGTAAGGTTATGAATTTAATAGTTAACTGCTCCAAATGAATCTAAGCATATGAAATAATATCATTGTCATTTGGGTGGCGAACAAGGCTTTTTGTACGTAAAAATTGGTTCTTGAAAAGGGGAACAGCGAATGAGACTACAATCCTTCAAATTCGTATTCTTACAGAAAAAGTATTAATTAAAAGTTGTTAGTGTTGTAGGAGATTTTTTACCCTTCTTCAGACCTTTCAGATGTGTTCTACTATGTTATGCCTCAAGTTAATCTATGTTTAACGTATAGCTTTAGCCAGAACCAAAGGCAAAGCCCCCGTGAAATTGAAACTATTGCTAAAGAAATCCACAAATCTACACTTACCTTAAATTAGGGGAAGACCATGTGACGTTTTAGAGAGGGGCTCAATAGACGAGAAACAATTGCTGCTAAGAACATTGAATTTGAGCCTGCGATCAATTAAAAGAAAATAACTGGTCAGCAGAAAATAATAATAAAATACTTGACCTCGAGTTCAAACCTGAATCTTCGATAAGGTCATGCAATACTGGCCAGCGGATACCCTTTTTTGTCAATTAACCAAACATGGATGTCTATCATCAAATTAAACACAGGTTGCAAGCTCCCACATGAACCACAAAATGCCATTTCACATTGGTTAGCCTGTGGTGCCGTCTTACTGACGGACGGGTAGGCATACGTACGGTCACGTGGCTAAAATAATTTCTCTGATGTGTATGGATACCTAAGTAAACCAATTTCGATATATTAAAATTCACACTTGGTTCCGAGGCTTGAGGGAATAAAACAAAAGAAGTGTATCATTCATGAATGAGCCTTAAGACTCTGCGCCAAGTCTGAGAGCGAGAGTCCCGCTATAATGTCTCCCTTTTGATTGACTTTTACTGTCTTTTTTTTTTCAGATTTTGGCCTTTTCAGATTGGAAAAGGAAAGAGGTTGGAAATGTTAAGAATGAAAAAACTATTGTTTGCAGTCGTTTTCATCGCAATGTGGAAAGGCAAGCGAATTTTTCCTTACGACATACACAGTAATTTCTGTCATCTTCCTACATTGAGACGGACTGCTGCGCGTGGCACTTAAACTGTACCCTGTTTTGGCTGTTAAGTTGAGGTCGCATTAATGTTATAACTGGTGCCAAATGTAAGGGTCCAAAATTAAAGTAATAAGGAACTGGTACCTGATGAAATAAGGGTCAAAATAATGTATTAAGGTTTACAAATTCTATGGGGATAGGTCACAAACGTAATAAGCGATTAAATACAATTTGACAAAAATTTTCTAACTATAAAAAGAGAAAAGTGTATGGTCCGTATAGTACCATTTTCCATTATTTTTGATTCATCACCTAGTTTGCAAAGTTTCACCGAGTTTAGAGCAATAGATAAACGGAAATTTCGTCCTGTTTTCGTTTAAAAGGAAAGTATGCAATTAATGGCGGATCCAGACCTTCAGATAAGGTGGGGGGCGGGAGCGGTCATCCAGACCCTGAGATAAGGCGGGGGGGGGCGGTCTCCAAAAAAGTTTTTTTCGGCCCTTCGGGTCTCATTTTGGTCGAAAAATAAGGGGGGGCCGGCCCCCCCGGGCCCCTCCCCTGGATCCGCCATTGGTAATTTATTCGCCGAAATAAGTTCGCTCTGATTTATATTGCACAGTACTGTATCCTACTCAAGAATCGTCTAAGGGGTATTTCCTTAGGACATTCACCTCTTCACTTGTAGACCCATAATGTCATCCTGCGTACAATTCGCTTTTTATCCACCCCCTAAATTGAAACCCTAAGCACGCTTTTGACCAACTCTAACCTTTCTCAGCTAGCCTATAATATTTCCGACCATTGTTATATTTGTGACTCCACTCTCCATTACAAATGCCATTACATTAGGGATCCTTGGTATACCAGTGTGGCCGACGTGACGTCATGTGATTCAAATGCTCTTCCAGCCTAATCTTCTTTCAAAGACCCTACTCAAAAGTCTCCAGGATGGGAATGGCAACCAGTTCTGTGCATGAGCGATCCTCGTTGCCAAAAAAATGTTTTACCTTCTTTTTATATTCTAAGATATTGTTTTTTGTATCAATTTCTTTTTAAGGGTAACCTCAATGCAGTTTATCCTCTTAATATTGACAGTTCCAAATTGACGGTTTTGTTAAATAACTATTTCGAATGATAAACATAATCTCTCTTTTTTTACTCATTTTCAGATGTGCACGCCAATCCATGCTTCTACGATGTGGGTAGCTCCAACGGGGTCATCAGCTCCAGTGTAAACAAAAACTACTCCATGTACGATTGCACGTGGATCATTACAGCACCATCTAACCACACCGTCAAATTAAAATTTACGATATTCAACCTCCTCGATTTATATCCACGGATCTACAGGAGCGAGATTAAAGTCTTTGATGGAAAAAGGAAAAATGATACGTTGCTTGGTATTTTTAGTGGATCAAGACGCCCGTTCATCGTACAAACAAGTGGCCAATTCATGATGTTAACCTTTAAAAGGTATCATGAACTTGCATTATTTAACTTCAAGGGAGTTTGCTCTTCAACTTCAATAAAAGGTGAGCTACATGTACCCAGGAAACAATTTTAAAAAATTTTTGGAAGGAAATTTCCAGGGTTTGAATTGTGAAAAGACCTCTTTCGTTAGAATAGTTAAACTATATGATATTTATTTATAATCACCAAAAACTCCAAATAATAAAGCCTTTTCTTCTATTAAGTAAAATTAATGAAGAATGTCTCCTGCGTGACCTTGTTACGTGTCTCCTGCGTGACCTTACATTTCGTTCAGAAATACCTTATCTATTTATGGTGTCTTGAAAATCTCATCACTGTTCTGTAATAATGTGTTTACCGCCATAAAATAACAGGAATTAGAGCGTCGATAACGGACATCCAAAACTTTGCTCACCAAAAGCAGAAAAGGAAACCTTGAATATTGCCTTTTTACGTAGAAGGCTTTGACAGCTAAATCAAGCATTAAAAAGAGCTTCGGGTCATTTGTGCAAATTAGCAATGGACACCACAAGAGAGGTCGTGTAAAAGGTAGAAAGCTAGGTAAATATCGCTATATATCGTAAAGTGTATGAGCTTGCAGGCATTTTTTAAAGTTATTTGGTAGTTCCTTAAAAAAAACGGTGTGATGTGGTTGATTCCTTATTGTAAAAATTGTGTATGGTAATAGATAAGTTTGAGGGGATTTATATGGGGATCCATTAGCTCAGAAGATCTAAAAATACGCACACTTAAAGCCTAGTATATCTTTTGATGAAACTTTTATTGCTTTTTCTAAATGTTGCTGTGCACCGGCCCTTAAAAGTGTGACCAGTCGATATCAATGCTAGGAAAATTTGCTGGACGATAGAAAGGAACCTTTAAAATCCATTACACCACTAGACGTTTCATTCCAAAAAAGTACCAAAGTCTGGTTTTCTATGACAATAGGGATCTTCAGTTAACACCGCCGAATCCAAGAGATCTAAACAAAATTTCCGTGAGAAATTCTAAACTTTTATCCGTCTCTTCGACGAGCACCATGCTCGCAATTTTGAATGTCACTGACCTGCGAGACGTGACGTCACACTGGTACGAGGACTGAACCACCGAGGTCCTTCGAGACACCTCCCCTTCCCTGAACCTGATTAAGTGCACAAAAATTAGTGCGAAGCTTATAATACTTATCAAGAAACGATCCTTCTATTTTTCGAGATTATTGAATTATCGAATTGTCGACATTCGGGTATGATTAACTTATAGTTTCGGTCATCGAGGCCTAGAATACGACAGGCCTCTCAGTATTAGTCTGTCGAGCAAAACGCGCGAGAGCAGAAAATGGGCACGCGTGCGACTGAGGGCGGGAGATCGAGAGGAGGGGGAAAAAGAGAGAGACTACTACCATGCAAAAGGCCCTGGTGAACTACCCTTCATGGTAAAGTGATTTTTATAGTGTAAAAGTTCAAGTGTAATTAAAGGTTTTAAGCTGAACTTTGTCTCTTGATTTTCTTAATTTCATTTAAACCTGACATCACAACCGCGGGAGATGACTTTTGAGTACATTCGGTTTTCCTGTCAGAAGCTCGTCCATGCCCCGCCGAGTGAGTGTCAAATGCGTGCAAGATAACATTCTCTAAGCTGCAATGGCGTCACATCCTAAGATAAGAGCTTCCAATGCGCCACTTTTCTCTCAGACTGGAAGCGAGAGACATATTTCAAAAATGATTTTCGATTGTTGACTGTTTGCTGTCCATGCTCCAAGCATTGGCCAATTATTCTTGTTGCTGCATGAGGGCAACGCATAATTCATCATTAGCTTTCATTTTAGCTTTGGCAGCACCAAATGCATTAGCCTATTATCGGAGCTGTAAACAATGTTTGGAAGGTAAAAATACTGAATTATGATTCTCATCTATAAGACTACTAAACGCTAAGATTTGTGTTAAATCACTTTTGTGTTTGATATCCGTCGATGTTTTGATAACGTCGAAATAGAGCAGGCTTTTCCTAGTGGCGGAAAAGGGGTCCCATACTAATATCGAGGTTCAAAATGCACAGCCTGGACGCGCTGCTAGTCCATCGCAGGATTACCCCCAGCAGTATGTCGCTTGTACCCATTTATACACCTGGGTGAAGAGAGACAAAGTGGAGTAAAGTTCCTTGTTTAAGGAAACAATGCGAGGGACGAGGCTTGAAGCCCGGACCTCCAGATCCTCTGAGCTATAAAACAAATAACCGATTTTTGGATGCATTTGTTGTGTTAAAAATAATTGGCGAGGAACATGGGCAAACTCATTACGTTTTTCCTTTGAGAAATAATTATTACGGAGACCGAAAAGCATAATTTTCCTCGCCGTTTAAGACAAGCATTGGTTATTTCAATTTACAGATAAGCCGGAGATAAGGATCCCGTTGTCAGCAGTACGCAGTGTACCAGAGCACTATACCTGGTTCATGGTGGAAGGCACCCCACCCATTCAACCTTGGTTAGCCAACTCATCTACACCTTTGGAGGGTGGGCAAGTGGTAAAAGGACTTAAATTTAATCAGACGGGAAACTATACAATTCTGGCAAAAAATGATGTAGGAAATAGCTCCAAAACTGTTGACGTTAATGTTATGGGTAAGGTTTCTGTCTCAAGTTAACATGTTAATATGTCCAACCCATATTTCAGTACCACCCTGTGATAACTGTGATATTTTTTGCTCATATTCAGCGTCCCTCCCGATCAAACGAGTCAACTGGGTTGCTTTTGAACGTACCAAATGGTGTTTTTTTTTTCAATATAGTAGTTGTCAAGTTTGTAGCGTAACTTCATGAACACATTTTGTTTAGAAATCTACCCTTGCAGTTGTGTCAAACGCTTTTCACTTGTCATCTGTTACCTGAGACAAGATGCATTGATTTTGCAGGTTGCAGGCATTTATGTCGAAGCAATGGTTTTATGAATGGTTCTGGGCAAGTAATCAACCATCATGACTGCAGTGGAGGCAATGTTACATATATTTGGAAGTGTCTACCAACAACAACTACTAATTTGTAAGTGAATTTCCTAGCTCGAGGAATCTATAATTGCTGATTTTAATAAAAATGCACTGTGGCAGTGAATCATGCGTGAAAAGAATAAAAACGTTTGAAAGTAACCGCCCTAAAAATCGTTTAGCTTTGAAAAAAAAAGCCTCCTGAGGTTTCAATTAATTAAAATTAAAAAAATACCTTTGAGCTAAAACGGACATTATTATTTTCATCGTTAAAGAAGTATACCTTTGGTCGATGAGGGTTTTTTACCTCAAGTAAATCTACCAGTTTATACGACCTCAACCTGATTTTGAATTACAGAATGTTGTGGTGATATGATTATTCCTCGCGAAACGAGCGGCCTATAATTTGGTCGCGCCTTGTATCTCGTGGATCACACAGCGACGCAGAAACTCGAGTTAGCAATATTTCTAGATATCTCTTGGGCCTCCGCATCCAGTGTGAAGTCAAGGTGCATTTTCAACACGACTTCAAATTCTGTGGTGCAATATAATGTTTTGTTCATGAAAGGCTGATGTCTTTATTCATCGTCTGTCAAACAATATTTACTATCGGTGAATCGCGATCAATTTCTCAAAGAACTGAAAGAGAACGACAAGCACAAGACAATGTTCCATTTAACAAGTGGCTGGGAAACTCCACTGCAGCGAGAACGGGGACTTGAAATCCAGCATGAGCAACGAAGAAGGCGAGCTCGTGTAAATATATCGAGCGGCCGTTAAAGCTGAGAGTGAATAAACACAGAAATAAAGCGAAATGGCTTTAAAATACTTGCTTAAGCTAATTTTCCTCAATATCTCCTTGAATTCATGATAAATACAACTCTGCAAGCTTCAAATAGCGTGTATGGCAGAGAAAAATGCTGTTGGTATATTGATTGTACGGTAAGAATTGTCCAGTGGCAGCAGGCTTAGTGGTTTGGGAGCTGACTCCACGCACTGGAGGCAATCATAGTGTAGGCTCGAATCTCGACGTGGTTATTTATTTATTTATTGCGTTATCTTTATACCTTTTTTCTGTTTATTTTTTTTTTCCGACATATTTTTGCCCTTTGGCTTCTTTCCCCGTATTCTCATTGCGGACCATTTACAGCTTCGCGAGATTTTTGCAATAACGTATTTCTAGTTTAACAAATAATTCAAGCCCCCGTCATTCTACATCCGCAGAATGTGAATGATCATGGTTCTCAACTATGGAAACCCGTCGTATGACAATTATGCAACCAAAGGGTAGCCATGAACAGCCATAAAGATATGAAAATGAGGTTGACCATGGTCAGTCTGGCTGTAGCTAAGGGCAGTATAAAACAATGCACTACTTCCTTAACAGCATAAAGTGTTCTCCGAAAAACAGAACACACACGAAAGAAGGTCGAAGCACAAAACATACTATATTACAGTAGGCATTCGGAGGTGAAACCGCTGACCTGAAACTACGAAGCCGTGCTTTTGGTAGGCAAGTTTCCACACAGATTCTCTTTAAAGTTTTTAGTCTATCCAAGTTTATTGAAGTCTCGAATTAACCATCCAACTTAATTGATAGAATATCTGCCAGAAATTCCTTTCAATTTTACACAAGGGTTAAGCCTGTGTATGGGTACCTGCGGAAATAAGTTTTTCAGGCGAAATCGTCGCATATCAAGAATTGTTTAACATTGTAGCACTACTACCAAGCTCAACGCAACCACAACAACGACAAAAACGAGAAAATAAACAAAACAAAAATTCTGAACGTGGAGCACAATGTTTGGCAAGCTTCTTTGTCGTCATTGAAAGACTAACGTCAAAAGGGATTGAAATGGCAATGCGATAGTTGCATCTCTAAGCTCGTCTTCGACTTCGATTTCGTCAGAAATATCCATGCAGGTTGTGAGCCATTCAAACAACACCGCCAATTTTAGCAGTGTAGGTGAAAAAAGTGTGATTTTAAATAGTTTAGGATTTGGTGGAACCTGGTACATTTACATTATGGGATCGAGTCAGTTAGATAACCTTAATTCGTCAATAAGGATTGAAAGAATGAATCTCGACTTTATGTTCTCAATTTATTCCACAAAACATCACTGCGTGGCCATTGGCTATTAACCTTTTGCTAGTTAGTAAAGAATTTTTTTTCCACCATGGTTGCCAATATACCACGGTGAAGGGCTGATGGTCACACCTTCCTGACACAGCCATCGGAACAACCACGCCGAATTGTTTTACACAGATTGACAATTTTGATGTAATTTTAATTTAAATTTTAAAGGACGCACTGCTTTTTTTTTTTTGTTAAAATAACTTCTTTTTTTTGTTTCAAAACCAAAAATAAGGAGACATATACACATTAATGTAGGTTACGAATTTTCATTTGCTGTAGGAAATTGTCAAGCAGCATGATCGAGGAAATCCCGCATGGAATTTTCGCAGACCTCTCTTCATTGCAGATTTTGTAAGTTAATCACATTTGTATTTGTAGCTGTTTGGATGCACAGACGGTAGACATTTTGCCTATGTACAGGTTCTGACGATTAATTGCTTGGATACATAATTTTTCCTAAATAACAATGGCAATATACAGAGGAGTAGCAATTACAATTGCCGAGCAAAAACTTCAAACATAACATTCACCCACACCTGCCACGGCAAACGTTAATTTTCCGTTAAATTTCATGTTGACGAAGAAACTCGATCGGGATTCAAGACCACAATCAAAACAGTGGCGGAATCGCATTACAGTTCCTGAGATTTATTTGGGTTAATTTACAATTGCTTAGTATGCTATTACAACTGTGACGATCATATCTTGTATTTCTACAGTTCACATTATCTTTATTTCATGTTTCATTCCCCTCACCGATCAAAAAAAGAAGTCAAAAAATTGGCTTGTTGCTAAAGTATGGGTTTTCATAGCTCAGTTGGTTGTTGTGGGTTCTGGAGGATGATGGCTTGCTTTCGTGGAATGCGCCTCTGTGAAATGCCGAAGAAATATCTGTTCTTGCATTAACACAACTTTTCTGGACTTCCATCAACCTCACCATGCAGTGATAGATTTTACTATAAGATTACGTATTTTAGTCCCTGTGTTTAGGTTAAGCCGTCTATTCCCCTTCTGTAATTCCCATTTTAAAGGTTTGAAAATCTTTATCATTACACTTGATGTGAAGCCCCTTTTAAGAAAAGCAGGACCATAACTCAACAGTTCAGGATCAATTTCTCCGAAGAAGACTTCAAAACGCATTCACACCGCCAACCAGGTCATGTGTGCACCCAATTAGAACATGATTTTCGCCAAGTGTCCACGCTTAGATGAAAGCATAGGTATTCGAGAAAAAGATTTTTATTATTATTTTTTTGTTTTATGTGTTTTGTGCGCATAGTTCAGAAAAGACAATCATTTCAGTGACCACACGATAGTTCAATAACAAAGCTATAGTAGTTCGATGACCACAACAGTAGTTCACCGAGAATAGACTGCATGCAGCTGCGGGGAAATAGCCACGTACAAAGTGGCAAATACTCATTTAGCGATGACACAAAAACCAAACTGAGAAGTAGCTATGGCACAATGTCATTTAGTTCTAGTGAACTCACTAAAGAACATAGACTGATGGCAATTTAAAAGTTAAATAGTCAGCTCAGAAGGTCTGTCATTCTCATCACGGGCACAGTGAACAGACCTGGAAAGAGAGTCAGCGCTGAAAAGGAAAGTTAACACGGCCAGAAAAAAAAAACGAAACGTTGGAAAGTCTGGACTTGTGCGGTAAAGATTATCTATTTATTAAACATGGATTCATGTTAAGCACGTAGGGCCAGCTGTGGTACCACAGCTTGAAACGTGTGGAAAAAGAGTCAAAAACAAGGTTTCTTCGACCGTCAACCGTTATTTTTTCTACTTTCTCAGCGCGTGCTTTGTCGGATTATTTAGTATATCGTTTTCTGTTGGGCCGTCTTAACTTTCCAGGTCTGTTTTTTGGGAAGCAAGGGATGACGCAGTGGTGAGAGCGGTCTCCTCCCACTAATGTGGCCCGGGTTCAAATCCCGGCGGCGACGCCGTATGTGGGTTAAGTTTGTTGTTGGTTCTCCTGTTTTCCCCTCTCCTCAAAAACCAACATTTCCAAATTCCAATTCGACCAGGATTCAGGTAGACGAGGAACCATTCTGTGGATGTGGTACCCCCAAATAATAATTTATTTATTTATTTTCACTGTGCCCCTGATGAGAATGACAGACCTTCTGAGCAGACTGTTTAACTTTTAAATTGCCCTCAGTCTATGTTCCTGTTTACTTTAGGGAGCTCACTAAAAGTAAATAACATTGTGCCATAGCTATTTCTCAGTTTGGTTTTGTGTCATCGCTGAATGAGTATTTAGCACTTAGTTAATGCTACACATTTATACTAAAATACTAACGTATTTGTGGTTATTTCCCCCGCAGCTGCATGCAGTCTATTCTCGGTGAACTACTGTCGTGGTCATTGAACTACTTGTGTGGTCATTGAACTACTAGCGTGGTTATTGAACTGTTGTGTGTTCACTGAACTGGTTGTCTTTTCTGAACTATGCACACAGCACATAAAACAAAAATAATGAAAGCTGAATTAAATTTGTGACCCTGTTGCCCAATCATATTTTTTATTTAAAAAGAGAAAATGACATATGAACGTGGAGGGATAGTTTTCCCATATTTAATAAGTAATTTACTATATTTTGTTACAGAAATTTGTCGAACAACATGGTCAAACAGCTCGCACCAGGAGTGTTTGCAGATCTCTCTTCGTTGCAGTTCTTGTACGTATCACAGTCCGCGTAACTGTGTCTTTACGCACATCCACTTTTATAAATAGAGCAATGTTAAATGCCACAGTTACCGAGACAATGAGAGCGATGAAACTAAACAACTACGAATATATTCATTCAATTTAACTATATTACGTCACAATACAAAAAATACCAAAATAAGCACCCTAATTGGCTCACTCTTTAGGGATATTTACGAAATATTGAGTGAGGCTGTGTATGGAGCAAAGAATTACGCAGATCGACGAGATCTGCATAATTCTCGTAAAGGTTTATTGGACATACGTGTATCATGTCACCTCAAATTGTTCATGCGTACCATGAAAACATTAAAGGACTGTGGAATCTTAAAATATATAAAGAGGAGAACTGGTCGTATGAGAACAAGAGCTGTTAATTTATTTGACAGAACTAGCACTGAATCAGGTTTCCAGTTCACTGCACCCCAAGGGTGCCAACTTTTAGAACTTGGTTGCCGTTCCGAAACAGCCCCTAGAAATGCCAACTAGTATATGCAAGGGGAGGGATCAGCTTAGACTATGATGTGCGAATGTACAATCTCTCCGGAACAAGCTGCCTGATTTTCTGTGTTATACATGTACTATGAAAACGGATATTTTCGCAGTGATTCAGAACTGGTTTTCTCAGCATGATATTGGTCATTGGATCAAAGAATCACCTCCTCGGTTTAAAATGATGAACCATTCTCGCGTAAGCCGCACTAGTAGTGGAACAGCACTATTAATCAATTACTCTCTCATGACTCCAAAAAGTAGATACTAGCGAGAAAGTGTCATTTGAATGTTGGGAATGGATTGTGGACTGTGGATCTTGTAAACTTATGATCTTGATTATTTATAGGATACTATATTCTTCTAAAGATCCGGTTACAATAGCCATGTTTTCTGAAGATTTCACTAGCTACTTGGAATCATTCATAATAATATAATGTCACCTGAACCATTGCTAATGACTGGTGATTTCAACATTCATATTATCGTTCATAGTGATATTAAACGTACACGCCTCTTAGGTTAGGTGGAATCCATTGGTTTGCAACAACATTTTGATAAACTGACCCAGGTGTCCTGCCATATCCTGGATCTAGAGTTACAAGGGATGTAAATGAGCTAATATCAACCACTCCTACTGTAGATTACCACTTCTCTGGTCACTTTACCTTGATCTGTGATTTGAGAAACCATCGTTTGTTGTCAAGGAGATAGCCTTCTGGAAAATCAGGAGTACTGACGCAGAGTCATTCTCGCATAATGTGCTCGGCCCTTAGTCGAGACAGTACTGATTGTCTTAAAGATTTGGGTACTTTGTACAACAGAACATTATCCAAGATACTAGATCCTCATGCATTACTGGTAACAAAGACGTTCATAGAAAGACCTCTTGTACCATGGTAGAATGATGGAGGTCAGGTCAGGGGTAATCCTGCTACTAGCTGGTGAAAAGAGGGTAGCATGCCACCCTCCAGGACTTAAAATAAGACCTAATACATGACGGATGAGCTCGTTCACGTACCAACGGCCAACATGCAAGGGACATGACACCATACAGAAACTAAGGTTTAAATTGTACCCTACCCTCCAAATCACCCTCACCATCCAAGTATCGCCGCAGACAGGGGGCAAAGCGGGAACAGTCTGGAGCTACTCATTCCGAATAATAATAACTCAGACAAGGGAAGTGGTAATCATCATTAGTCTGACTACATCAAGCAGCAACAGTAACGAAGAGGTCTGCTGCGGCTGATATAGACCAAATCTCCCTTAGCAAGCCAATTATCATATCAACCTATAATGTCAGGTCCTTCTACCAACTGGGCAAGTTAAATCAGTTGTGCTGCGGTAGAGGCAGGCGGTAGAATCAGGTCTTGAAATCACTGTCGTAGAAAAGCATCGCCTTATCTCATTCAATCCGATAACAGAACTGTGGTCTGATGACAAGAAGTGGCTGTTCATCCAAAATTTCATTTCCAAATGCCGAAAGGGTTGCGGCCTCCTTGTTAAAAGACAATTGGTCAAAAGCATCTCCGGTTCAAAACACCTTTCGGACCGCAGCATCTCTGTATTTCTTAACGGCAACCCGAGACTCGTGGTTACAATAGTCTAAGCTCCAAAAGAGTCGGTTAACACCGACGATGATTATCAATTCTACAACCTGCTCAACACCCATACATCCGACAAAGTCAACTGTCACGATATTGATCTTGTTATTAGAGATTCTAAACGCTGACTAGGCCAAGGCAATCACGAAAAAGCTCCGAGAGTTGTGGGTTCTCACAACAAGCATTAACGGCGAAAGACGTCTTAATTTCTGCTTTGCAACTAATGCATCAGTCAATTCCACCTGCGCCCAGGCCCCCCCCGGGCTGACCCCCGGGCATTAGCATTTTTTTTGCCCTGGATGGCAAATTCCCGGGGGTGGGGACTCTTGAGCTGTCAAATTCCCCGGGGTGGGGACGAAAAAAGAGGGCAAATGCCCCGTCCTCCGTCAACACTGCAACATTTTTCATTGATCGCACAGTCAAATAGGGCCGTTTTAAGCATTTTAATGTGCGATTTTTTTGGTTTAATTAACGTCTTCGTTTGTAATAGCGCGAGGATTCTAATTAAGACTTCACGCCGCGACGACATGCACCAGTTTTAATATGGTTTTAGTATAGGTATAAAATTATTGACATTAAAATTAATAGAGCGCTGTAAAGTTATATGTTATGAATAGTTTTATAAATATGAGAGGATGTTCTTCAAAATAATAATATCAACAGAAATTTGATTCAATAACCAAAAAACGTTGATTCGCATCGATAGCTCCAATTTCGCTACGTAATTCTGGCTTGATAAGCAATGAAGAAATGCATACATACATTTAAAATCGAGAACATGCCTTTACAACCCTCTACAATTTATTTCTGTCCTTGACAAATGAGCCAATCTGCTTTTCTTCCAGTAAAACCTTATATTCTGATAGGAAAGCACGTGCGTGTCAAAAGCTCGGGATTGGCCCGGGGGTTGGCAAATGCCCGGCCCCCGGGCAGTGCATCATTTGCAGATGCCCCACCCCCGGGACTGACAAGGCGGGCAAATGCCCCGCAGTTGCCCGGGGGGGGGCTGGGCGCAGGTGGAATTGACTGATGCATAACCTTTGACTTGATCAACCCAGGGACTAACTCTGTCAGGAATTATAAAACGTACAATAGTGTAGAGCTCAACTTCGACCACCGCATCCTAACTGTGACTTTTAAAGTGAGTCTTAGAACTACAAAAGGTAAACCTGTAAGTCGCAAATAATACAATTGGAAGAGACTCGCAAATCCTGTGCTGACATCGGCATTTCTGTTAACGCTGTGGCTATACGGCCGGTAACCGGTCAAGGTTTCCAAAACACTAAATGGCCGGCAGTCCTATATTCTCAGTAAATTTCACAAAATCGAAAGATTCTAGCTAATCTAAACTATCATATGTCGATTTAGAAAAGTCAAGCGATCCTGAAATGCTTTACAGATCTCAAGTCTAGTGTTTGGTTTACGCTGGGCTCAGAGGACGAAACCATGTTTTGTGACAGAACTTTTATCAGCTCGACTGCCGGTCAAGGTTTTCAAAACACTTAATGGCAGGCAGTCCTATATTCTCAGTAAATTTCACAAAATCGTCGACAAGATAATGTTGAAGTGTATTTCAGCTCCAGAAGCAGCAGACTCAACTAACACGTGGAGTTTTTCCGCAAAAGCCGTATGAAAGGTCAAGATGGTATAACGTCAAACGTCGCCTGTCACGCCATGCTTTGGACAGAAAACAGTAACGAACATACCAACAAAAACATGATATAGAAATCCCACAAAACTGGCTGGTTTGATCAGGATCACGACATTTGATAGTTTAGATTCGCTGGAATTTTCGGATTTTGTGAAATTTACTGAGAATATAGGACTGCCGGCCATTTAGTGTTTTGAAGACCTTGACCGGCAGTCGAGCTGAAAAGTGTCACAAAACACGGTTCAGCGTAAACCAAACACTAGACTTGACATCTGTAAAGCATTTCAGGATCGCTTGACTTTTCTAAATCGACATATGATAGTTTAGATTAGCTGGAATCTTTTGATTTTGTGAAATTTACTGACAATATAGGACTGCCGGCCATTTAGTGTTTAGAAAACCTTGACCGGCAGTCGGGCTGAAAAAAGTTCAGTGTCACAAAACATGGTTTCCTCCTCTGAGCCCAGTGTCAACCAAACACTAGACTTGAGATCTGTAAAGCATTTCAGGATCGCTTGACTTTTCTAAATCGACATACGATAGTTAAAATTAGCTGGAATCTTTCGATTTTGTTAGATTTACTGAGAATATAGGACTGCCGGCCATTTAGTGTTTTGAAAACCTTGACCGGTTACCGGCCATATAGCCACAGCGTTCTGCTAAAGCTATCGAACAGCTTTTCCTCCACCCCAAAT